CAAATTAAATTTTATTTACAATTTGTTAGTCGAGAAACACGAAAACACGATTTTGTTTCGAAGAACAAGTCATAAAGTCACCAGTCCTAACCACTCGGACAAGAAGGGATGTCATCAGGAGGGTTATGCTCCATATATCCACCTTCCCCGGGGAAAGCCTCCCCAGTACCCTCCCTAGACAGAGAGAGAGGATCGACAGAGTTATCCCACTGCCACGACACACCCCCCGCTGGGATAGCGTGCACACCAGAAATTGAACCCCAGATGGCTCTGATACCAAGTCATAAAGTCACCAGTCCTAACCACTGGGACAAGAAGGGATGTCATCAAGAGGGTTAGGCTCCATATATTCACCTTCCCTGGGGAAAGCCTCCCCAGTGCCCTCCCTAGACAGAGAGAGAGGATCGACAGAGTTATCCCAGTGCCGCGACATACAGTAACATACTTTCGTCACAGAGGGTAGCGCGTCCCATGATGATTAAAGCGAGGGTCTCAATAAGCAAAAAACCAAGCCCAAAGGTTTTGGTTTCGGGGGGTCTTGAAAATTGCGAGGTGTGGTGAGGGGTGCTGGTTGGGCGCTGTTACTGTTTCGCTAATTTCGTCAACCCAAAACCAAACCTTTTGGATATGGTTTCGCGCTTCTTGAGATCCTTGCTTGAAAAATGGCGGCTTTGCCTCTAACACATTTACGGCCCCAAAGAAAATTCAAGCCATAAACTTGTTGTCATTCCCGAGTCCCCTGAAAATAGTAACATATATAAACAGCTACGGAGGTTAATTTTTTGGAAATGAATATGTTTAAAAGCACGTCAAGGTACTCTTATAACCGCATTTAATTTTGTATCAATTTCAATACAACAAATCTATTAGAAGACTGTCGGCTGTCTTTTGAAATTTTCAACAAAATGTATTTACCGGAAACATTTTTCATCGAATTACGACTCTACAGGTCTTGTGCTCAAAATAAATTAGCACACGCGCACTACTGTTTAATAATCACGCCTCATTGGCTTAGCGCCGATCCCGGATAGATTTACCATTTCGTGTCAAATGTTTTCGCTTTTTGTGCGTTCGTTAATATTTGAAAAATGTCGCGCCCGAAGTGCGGCTCGCTCTGGCCCAATTAGTTTATGTGACATAAATGCGCAAGGTCTCAATTTTGGAATTTTGTGTGCACGACGTCCAACGATTTTTAACATGGGAATACTTTATGTAGTTCTCTCGAACTACGATGGAGCTTGGGAAAAATATCGCCCCAACCGCAATGATGACGAAATTAGGCTGGCGCGAGCGGGAAAACGTTCCTAGACGAACAGGGGTTACTTCTTCTGACCATTCGTGGAACTTTTTTCCTACAGTTTCTAACTAACGGTGGAACGCGACTGATGAAACATGTTGCGAACTCGCTAATTCTGATTGTTTGTATCATGTCACTGACCGTACATGTTATCGAGGCCTCTAATACTTAGCGCCGATATAATTTCCCGCGCCTTTTCATACTCCCACTCGTCGCAGCGCTTGCAACCCTGGTCCCTAACAACATCGCTGTAGCTACCCTCGATAGCACACGTGTTTTCATCCGAGGTGATCGGCTTGAGGATCGATCCTGTTGGCTCAGGCTGATGCGCAATATTCCAGATAGGCAATTTCGTCAATATTTGTGCGTCGACCGCCGAGTGTTTGTATATTTGGTGCGCCACTACCAGCACAGCGGTTTTGCCCCCACAGGGCTGGATGTGATGACCTTCCTCCACATTGCCGTAGGGCTCACCCGGCTCGGACACGCCGCAGACTACCGCACTCTGGGCCTGCACTTTGGATACTCCTGGACGCATGCTCGGAGGATAGTGCGTCGCTTTACCCGCTTCGTGAACTCGTGGCTGACGCCGCGGCCGAATGCGGAGGACCTTGTGCGTATGGAAGGCGAGTTCCGAGCAGTGGGCAGGATTCCAGCCGTGGTCGGAGCTCTTGACGGCTCTTACATCAGATGCCGTGGGCACGGAATGCATCGCGATGACTATAAAAACCGTAAGGTTTCTACTCCGTGATTCTGTAAATTATTTGCGATGCAAACGGGGTAGTGTGGGAATTTAATATGGGGTGGCCAGGTAGCGTGAATGACGCCCGCGTCTCCGACAGCAGTATGGCAAAAGCGTCTATCAAAAATGGAATGATAGGTGATTATACAATAGTGGTGGACGCAGCCTATGGAAATTGATGCTACACAACCACCCCATACCGAGCTAGCCCCAGGCGAGCACTAACGGAACCACAGTCCATCTACAACCTGCAGCAGATTCGGGAGCGAATGACAGTCGAGAGAACATTCGGCAAAATCAAAGAGGCCTTCCGCATCACGAACGGGAGGCAGAATTGCCACTCCGACCTCTTGCCGTCGACCGTGGGGGTGTGTGTCACACTGCACAACGTCAACCTTGTGCTCGGCGAGGCACCAAGGCAACTCCCTCCGAGGCCGCGTAATCGGTGGTGGGAGAGCGGGCCGGCAACGACCGCACCGCATTACATGCCCCTCACGCCCGGCTTCATCGTCACGCGCCGGTGGGACCGTCTGGCGGCGTACAGTGGCGGAAAGTATTGCCCGGATAATATCCACTTTTAGGTTCAACTAATGACTTGAATGCTTTTTTAAGAGGTAACACTGATTCTCCGAAGTTGTGTTGTAAGTTACGAGTACAACTTATGAGTGCAAGTTGTACAGAGGTAACACTGTTGCCATTATAAGTGGTCGCACTAATAGTGAGGACAAGATTGTCGTCGCGTGAGTACATCCCGACAGTTTCAGCCAAGCGTTGACTAGATCTGTTTTCGATAGCCGCATAATCTCCATAGTTGCTCCCGCAAGTTTTGATCAGTCAGGAAAGAGGCTATACCCAAGGCTTCAACTAGGCCGAGATGAGACCGTTAGATGAGGCGCGTCGCGGACGGATCTTAACCCTGTTGCGGAGGGGGTATAGCACGAGGCGAATCGCAAGGAGCTTGGCGTGGGGAAGAGCACGGTACATGATCTAGGACTCAAGGCTATTTCAGAGTCTAGCCTCGAGGATGTGTGTCCTTCAATGCCCACTGCTGGTCATCCACGCATAGTCACAGATAGAATTCATCGTGGGATCGTTAGGGCGATTACTAGCGGCGAGGCGAAAACCTCGAAGCACGCGGCCCAGATCGTCGAATCGCAGCACGGCATTACGGTACATCCTAGGACGGTGCATAACGCGCTCAAATCTAGCGGCCTTGTCGCAGTCCAACAGCCTAAGAAGCCGCGCCTCTCGACTTCATACGGGCCCATGCTGATTGGACCGTCGAGGATTGGAAACGTGTGATCTGGTCGGATGAGACCAAGATCAATAGGTTCTGCTCTGACGGCCGCGCGTACGCCTGGGTTCATGAAAGTACGGCCCTCCAACACCACCAAATCAAGCAGACCGTGAAACATGAGGGCGGGTGCTGAATGATTTGGGGCTGCATGACGTATGAGGGGGCGGGTTTCATGTGCAAAATCGATGGTAGAATGGACAGGCCGTTGTATCTGAACATTTTGCAGGACGAGCTGAAGAACACCATCGACTTTTACGAGCTTTCTCCCTCGGATGTGATCTTCCAGCATGATAACGACCCCAAGCACAAGTCCCTTCTAGTGCAGCAGTGGCTTCAAGAGCAGGAGTTTGGATTGCTGGAGTGGCCATCTTCAAGTCCCGATCTGAGCCCCATTGAGCATCTCTGGGCTCATCTCAAGAAGGAGCTGGCTAAGCACGAGAAGCCTCCCTCTGGTATGGTGGACCTGTGGGAGCCTGTACAGGAGGAATGGGAGAAGATCCCATCAGAGGTGTGCACCAAGTTGATCGACAGCATGCCCAGGAGGATGAAGGCGGTGATTAAGGTGAAAGGGCGGTGGAGTAGGTACTAGTTTTACAGTAGTTAAAGTTGCTGCCTGCACCTGGCACTAATTGTCCGGATGTACCGTGATTGCCTATGACTGCTTTTATCAATTAACTATAGCAGTTTCATCAAATGTAAAGCATTGTCTTGTGTTCTTATATTGGCTGGTATGCAGTGGGTAAGGCCTTCACTTAAGGCTTAAAGTACACATGCCCTTAATCGGCCTAAATTCATAAAAGTGCAAAACATGTGGACAATTCTTTCTGCCACTGTATCTCTACGCCTCTTGGTGTCTTGGCCATCCCCAAAATGCTCAGCCAACCCAAGGGTAAATTCCTTAAAATCATCCCACTACTCACGCATAACCTCACGCACCATGCCCGTGAGGCTTTCATTGATCTGGCTAACAATCCCACCCCTGTCAATCACGCCCCCCACCCCCTCCCCCTCCCCCCGTTTCCCCCACCCCTACCCCTGGTCCCCCACCCGTGGCCCCATTCACCCGTCGTCACATTGCTACGCGACGGACGGCACGGCGTGCCTTCACCACCGTCCCCAGGCGTCGTCCCCGCCCCCCTGACAACGTGCCCACCGCGGCGCGCAATGTCTGCCCCGGCCCCTCAGACGGAGCTTGAATGCGCGGGATTGGGCGTGGGCGAAGGCGGCGTCGTCACCGTCGTCGGCGCGTCGTCGACCGCATTGCCACCACGGCAAGCACCTCGCTCACCGATCGGGCGATTGCTCGTCGAATTGGCGCGCCCGCCCCCGGCACTTGTGCTACTCGGCATTGAAGGCTAGGGCTCTACTGGATTTCACGGATGGGGGAAGAGGCAAAGTTAGAAGCATGCGTGCGGGCTGTTGTGTGTTTGGTGTAGAGAGTGCAGTAGCCGGTGCTTGTAATATGTCGCTTATTTGGATGTTGAAGGGGTGAGAGATCTTTTTGACAAATAAGGGATGCATGCTGGATCCATCCTGTAATTTAGGAAAAAGGGCGAATGATAAGTCGTGGCGGAGGGTGCATTGTTGTAGGAAAATTCGAGCATGGGTAGCGAATCTTCCCATTTGCTGACGTCCACGCAGTTCGTGCGAATCAACTATTCCCTGGTCTAATTCGTCCGTTTTGTCTAGCCATCGGTTTGTGGGTGATTGGCGGCTGAAAACTGTAGGCGGGTGCCGTATCGGCTCCACGTGTCTTGCCAAAAGCGCGAGGTGAATTTTGGATCTCTATCGCTGATGATCGCCGCGGGGATACCATGCAGGCGAACGACGACAAGAACCGCGTTGTTTCCACTTGGTCTGGCCGGCAGGCCGGTAACAAAATCCATTGTCACGTGTTGCCAAGGTCGCTGGGGTGGCTCGAGGGGCTGCAACAGTCCTGCTGACCGCTGGCGTGATGATTTCATCGTCTCGCAGGTCAGACAAGCGCCCACATACTTTTGCACGTCCGAAATCATATCTGGCCAGTAACAAAACTGCTGCAGTGGCTTCAGAGTCTTGTCAACTCCGAAATGTCCCTTCGCATCGTGGACTTTTTGAATTAGTAATTCGCAAAGTAGAAGATAACTCGGAACCCAAATTCGTTCCGTTCCCGGCTCCCCGCGTGGTCGTGACCTGCTGGTGGCCGTTGTTTACGAAAAAGGGATTGGTAAAATATCTGTGAGTAAATAGTCCGCTCAGCAACGGTTTCGTGTGGGCAATTAGTATAATGGCGGTTTGGGCAGATGGTCTGGAGAGGGCGTCAGCAATGTTGTTGGCACCCTTCTGGAATGCAGCGCGAGACACTGGGATGCAGCGCGTGCAGTCGTCTGCGAGCACCAGAAAGTAGCGCTCGCGATGTGGCCCAGGGACAGGGGCTGGGACCTAGACGTCCAAGTGCATAGTCTAGAGTGGTGCAATGTTGGGGGGAAACGAGGAGTGAGGAGCACAGTGCAACCAGCCCTCGATGCAAGGCGAGCACGGGGGCGTGGGCAAGAGAAGGAGGGCAGGGACACAGGGAGACCAAAGACATGACCATGCTGGGATATGTGGTGTAGACACGGGAGTGTGGGGTGACCTAGACGATGGTGCCATAGAAGCGATGGGTGAGTGAGCGTTCGATACGAGCAAGCCACAGTGACCTACAGTAGGTAGACGCAGCCACCTGGGGGGACGCCCCCACCTGGGGGGATGCAATGTCCCGCGTGAACAGGCCGGACATCGGGCCCCGCGAAGAACGTGGTGAGGGGGGCACCAGTGACGGCCTCGGGCGTACCGCTCGTGCCAAGGAAACGTGGTGGTGTCACTGAGGTCCTGAAGACAGCGGACACCAACGAGGTTCCTGGAGAATGAGAGGGCCCATAAGAGGGCCCGAGGGAACAGCCGGACAAGGAAGGGTGGTGGAACTACGTGCAACTACGGAAATGGAGGAAGGGTCAGAAACGGCGACGGCTGTGGGGCGGCAAGCGGTGTGAGAGCAGTGTGGTTGCAGAAGAAGCAGGAGGATGCATTGGAGTCCAGTGTGAAGGAGAGAGCAGCAGTAGCGTCAGCCAACGGAGGGACTGAGTGGAGCCAAGGCTAAAGAAGGGAGGAGGTCCTAGGCCTGACGCAGCAGGGGAGCCTAGACTACATACAGTGGACACACCTAGGCTAGGCAAAACAGGGTAATAAGGCTTAGTCACACTAGAGTCATCAGCATACATGGCATACAAAGCAGAGCTAATCTGATCCATACCCATCTCAAAGACAGGCACATGGTGAAGTACCAGACTGGGCCAGTCCGGAAGGTCCGACGCGGGGCTGAAGCGGAGACAGAAGAGGTCATCGAGGCGACGGTAGCTGAGGGCGGCAGTGTGACTAGGACAACTAGACACAGTGCCATGGAAGGGACCAGTCTGGATCTGGTACTGACAACCCACAGAGCTGGAGCCGCCACCCAGCATCGAGCTGCGAGGTCCGCCACCAGTCACCACTACCAAAGCCGCTGGGCCACCACGGCGGCGAGGGTCCCCACGGCTGGCGCTGCTGCTGCTGCTCCTGCTGCTGTGCTAGGGCATCAGCCCCGGTCCCCTCGTGTGCACCACCTGCACTTGCACCACCTCCACCACCTCTGCCACCTCCGAAAACTCCGCCACCCCCGCCACCCCTGCCACCCTTCCCTCCACCGTGCCCCCCTTTGGGACGGCGGCCCTTACCCTAACAAGGCTATGATGAGGCCGCCGTAGCGGTCTCAGCGACAAGGGCTGTCTCGGCGACAGCAGCTGAAACGTAAGAGTAAGTGCACTAGCAGGTCTCTATCGCAAATAGGGTGGTGACAAGGTTAGTAAGGGTGAGGTCAGTGGGGTGGAGACTAAGGAACTGGTCGCGAGCAGTGGCTCGGTGGTCGGGGAGGCGCGTGGCAAGGGAGTATAGGGGAACCCCAAGGGGGGAGGCAGTACAAAGAGCTGAGCCTATGTGCTAGCAGCGCGGTAGCTAGTCTTAAAGCCCGCGTCTCATATTTCCTAGAGTATTATGCTTGGTTGGAAAACGGTGAGCTTGCTTGGTGGGCGAGGCTCGAATAGCAGAGGTGGGATTGACAAAGGTAGCGAGTAACAAACGATTTTGTGACCAATCGAAGAAGCCAGCAGTTAGGAAAGCTCTGAGTCTCGTATTTCTGGCTGGCCGTATTACGTTTGGTTCCGGCTCTCGACTTTCAGGGGGCATGTAGTCTTGGGTCGGGGATGGTTTCAGGTTTTAGTTTCGGTTCGTATTCTGCCCGAAGAAATATTCCTGAGGCACCCTCGCAAAATTTTCAAATCTGTCACCACCCCTTGTTTCAAAGAAATTGAATGGTTTTACAACCCTAAAGTCCGCGCCATCAGGTTCGATTCGCTCCTTTGACAGGTCAACCCCGCCGCACCCCTCTCACAAGCACTTTTGACCCTCACTTGCTGAGAAAGTCGAGTTACAGAGTACCAAGCGTATTACCTTTGATCCTAAACAAGAATTTTGAGACGCGGGCTTTAAGAGCGCGCAGGTGAGTGGCAAGATCAGCGACAGTGGGGAAGGACGCGATATCAGGGAAAACCAGGGGCAGGAGGAGATGGCAAGGAGAAGCGGAGGAGGGAGTGGAATAGCGTGCAATAATAGCATCTAGGTACTCCTTCGCAGTCTCTATGGCCTGAAAGCGGGGCCGCTCCGAGAGGGGGAGAGCGTGACTGATGGCAAGCTGCGCAATAGAGTTACGCGACTCCTAGACTGAGCGGGCGAGTTGTCACATGTTGTACCAGCGATTTCAACAGGCTAGTTGTAGACGATGGACGGGACTTCAAACACTGTTTCGGCAATGGGCGAATCCGACAATTTCGGAACGACACAGTCGCAGGAGGCACGTGTGGTTGTGCAGTTGTGTGGGAGCAGCTGGGATTAAGGACCTCGACACTATTCACATGCGACGGCCATCTGGTGATGATGATACTGTGATGGAGTAAGTGTACTCAGCAAGGGCGAATTCTCGCGTGGGGAGGCGTTTTCGTGGACCAGCAATTCATACCCCCACGATCAACAGAAACGAAGGCCACCGCCCTCGGGTGAGTATTAAGTGTTTTTCCACCGGTCGCCGAAAGCGTTAACTGCCTGGAGCTGAATCAATGGAAGAAGAACGATGGCAGTACTGGAGCTTAATTAAGTGTCGACTTATCAGTCGACCACTCTTGGCTGAATAAGAGGGGTGAACCTGAAAACTATACTGTGCTGATGGAGTATCCCCGAAATTTTAGGAGTTACTGTTGCAGCGGAGCTGAGGGTTTCACCTAGTGCAGCAGAAGGAGCTTTTGATTTTGCGGGTGAAGATTGACGAGTTTCTGATGAAGAGGGGAGCTGTCCAGCGGTCAGTATGCGAGCTCATTAAAGCTCCTCTGACTAGAAGTGTGTGCACTCCTATCTCTGCAGTTTCTCATGCAACAGTTAGTTTACTTAAGCAGCAGCGAAGCAGTTTTGGGGTAACTTGCAGCAGCCGCGAGATGGGTGAACATCTACACGGCCAGCTGTTCAGGTGTACCGGAGAATTTATGAAGTTGGGTAACAGCCGAGAGGAGATCAACAACGTATGATGCGCATTGACCTTGATCGACGGCCAAAACAACATCATGCCAAGGCGGTGGACTCCGGTGTTTCCTAATATATAGGGTTCAGTTCATGCGCACAGCTGGTGGAGCAACCATGGGGGCGCTGCTAAAGGATGCCGTGACGCCTGGGTGTTTTTTACGAGTAGCTGTGAAGCGGAGTTGCGGTATTGGCTAAGTACTGGGTAAAGTTCCGACATTTTTGCGAGAGCACTTCAAGATTTTACACCTGGAGTTGTGCTCGCTATCTTCAGGGGTACGAGCGACATCGACCGATATTCTTGGAATATTTTGGGTGCATGGAGAAGGAGAGAGCAGCAGTTGTTTCGTCTCTTTCCTAATGTTTCGGCGGGTACGGACAAAGTAGCTATCGCAGCTGGCGTCATTTGACACTAAGTTTGGCTCGAGGTTAGGGAAAATTCTGGAGCGAGTGTTAGACCCTCGGGTTGGGCTCTCGGATCCGAGGCTGGAAAAGAATTGCCTCGGGTCTTTCAAAAATCTGGCGGCGTCAGCCAGTTAGCTGTCAAACCGAAGAACTAATAATTTCGTGCAAATGAACTTTCACCAATCATAAACTCGCTCATTTCTGGTGGACTCGCAAATTTTGGCCAGTATAGTCGCAACCCTCCTCACGCGGCAGTTCATGACTGTGCAGCCGCTGCACTGTCAAGAATAGAAAACCCGCAGTTAGGTTGTGACAACCCGCGGTTCCTTCGGTCGCGTGTCGACCTCGGGTCTGACACTCGCTCCAGAATTTACCCTTCTTCATTGACGCGGATTTTGTACAGGTTACATCCATCGCCCTCGTCGTCAACCTCTCGCCACCACTCGCCACCACCTCCATCCTCACTTCGCCTGCTTGCGTGAACACGACCCCGTCTCACCATCCAAATCGACAGCAGCAGTATCGAAACGAGCAGATTTGGCAGCAGTACTGTTGGAGCTTTGTTGGGGCCAGCTCGCACGCTGTGTTTTTTCCTCGTGAAGAATTTTCAAGTTTGTGTGGGAGTCTTCTGGAGGAGTTGTTGCGGCATTTCCGGTCCTTCAAAGTGGTTTATCTTGAAAGCATTATTACTTGGAGCAGATTTTGGAGTCTCATGGTTCGAGTTTAGTCGTTGGGATATATTTCAACAGCATCTTCGAAGCTGAGTCGGAGAATTTCACACAGCAAAGCTGGGTATTTGGACTACCCTGGAGCATTGGAGAATTTCTTAAGTTTCCCTAGATTACTTGGAGCTTTTTCTTCTTGGAGGGGGGGAGAAGTGCAGCTGTGCTGCACGTTTTTGTCAGACCCTTTCGGCATGTTCCATCATTCATTATCGGCCAACATTCGTCTCAGTTATGTTTCCACTCCTGCGCTCGTCAATTCGCTGATGGAGCTCGCTGATTTTCGTGAGACACAGATGTGTGCCCTCGCAGGTGTCACGAACGACCTCGCGCCTTGATGAACGATCGCCAAATCATCGGCCACGTTACCTCACCAGTTCATCATTACTCGGGATATTCATCAACCACGTGTTATCATCAACCACTCACTCGACAGTTCTCACTGTTTACAGGCTTCCGCTGAAGTATTCACTTACCCATTCGGTCAGCTGAAGAACTCGACATTTCTTCGGCGGCCACGATTTAAAGCGATCGTTTCAACGCTTTCTGACCCTCGATTGCAGTTCAACCTGAAGACCTCGTCAGGCCGGCGTAGTCATTACGCTCGTCACAGGGCTGAAGATCTACAGTCACTTCGGGGATTAATCCAAATAAAAGGTTCGACCTCGATATTGTGAGTGCCTTCTTTAGAAGGTGGGAGAGTCTAAGGAATTACGATTTCTTACTAGGGCTCACTTCAGCGAGTACACGTGAACCTTACGGGTCCACAGCCTCGGCCCTTGGTTCTCGCACCAAACCAGCCCCGCCGACCTATTCGGCCCCAAACCTCTTCC